GCAGGCTAGATATTGGTATTGTCTTACATACTAAAATCATGTGAGATAGCACCACTTCATATAGGTGGGAATAAAGCAGAAGCAAACAATTATAGACCTATAGCACTAACATGGCTAACCATAACAAATTGTTGAAAGTGTGTTAAGCAGTAGTAAGGTCGCAGAACACGGGGAATGAGAGCGGCTACATAACCCTGTACAACACGGGTTCACAACAGGCACTACTACTGCCTCTCGTAATAGCCAGACCACCGTGACACGGACTGCCATGGTAGACGGCCAAAACACTCACGTAATATACTCGCACCTCACAAAGGGACAGATGTGACCATGCTGTTAGTACACACACAATGTGTTCAGAGGGAATTGCTGGGAAAATAGGAAGATGGATCTTCAATTTCCTAACAGAACTCAGTGTGCAAGAGTAACAAAGGAAAATCTGGATCATCTACCGTGAAAAGTTCAGTCCCCCCAGGGTATTCCCCCCCCCCCCCCCCCCCCGGTACTGTCCTTGCTCCAGTACTTTTACGCGTCTTATCGGACATAGACAAGGACACGCACTTCCCTCTGGTGCGAGTCAGGTTTAAGAATTGTTTTCCTAACCCTGACCTTCACAACCGACCCTTCATTATCACAACCGATTAATAGTTATAATTTGTTGTTAGACGAAGTGGTTCCGAATGTGGACAGTAAACCAGTAGTCATACTAAAGCGGCAGGCATGGCACGAGGTCTAAAATAGCCCCATTGAACTGTACAAGTGCAGTGGGTACACTGAGAGGGAACACTCAACATCATAGGCCCAAGACCTGTCAACAGGCCTGGTCAGAGACCGGGCCGCGGGAACTTTGATCCTTGCAATCACCACAAGGTAGGTAGGCCCTTCCCCCCCCCACCATATTTGGCCCATCATTGTCACAACCCCCCCCCCCCCCCTCCACACCGCTTGAAGTACCAGACCATAGAGGTTGTAATGGATATGTTAGTCTGCAGGCCGCCCAAGCAAATGTGTTGACGCACAAGTGTGGCGCGAGCTGCGGCATGGACCGAGTCTTGGCACCAACTACACACACACATTACAACTCCATCATTTTACAACGGCACAGTCACCTATCATTATCGCCACACGCGCACACAAGCTAATCTCACCCTGATCAATTCTCCAAAACGTGACGCACCTGTTTCTGTATTTTGACTCTTCCTAATAAACTTGAATGAAATTTTACCCCCGAGAATAGGTGGTGGTGTTGTCATTGCTCCTTCGATAGTGATGTAGAGTAAACAATTTGTGTGTGTGGGGGGGGGGGTCCTGTGGTCAGTAATACGTATGAGGAAGGTGGCGTCAGGTAAGCGGGTTGTGTTTGGATGTATGGCGCCATAATCACGCCTTCCATTGACTGCACTCTGGCTACCGTTTCTTAACCTGTTTCATTATAGTTATCCGGTTTTGTCTGTTCCCTTATTGCTATTCACAACGTTTTTGAGCTGGGTAGTGAATGTAGAGTTGGTTGATACACGTGAGAGAGGTTATGGTGGTGGTATATGAGGACCACCACCAAGGTTGTCGTGTTCCTGCTTGGTCCCACCTCGCTGTCTCCTGACCCGCTCCTGTTGTTGTTGTTGCTGCTGCAAGCTCCACTCCACACGCTATCCTCCCCCCCTACCACCCCCCCACCCACACACACCCACACACACACACACACACACACACACACACACACACACACACACACACACACACACACACACACACACACACACACACACACACACACACACCCACACACCACACACACCCCCCCCCCCCCCCCCCCTACCTGGGGGCCTGGGGGCCTGGTCGATAGCGCGCAGGACTCGTAATTCTGTGGCGCGGTTTCGATTCCCGCTGGAGGCAGAAACAAATGGGCAAAGTTTCTTTCACTCTGAATGCCCCTGTTACCTAGCAGTAAATAGGTACCTGGGAGTTAGTCAGCTGTCACGGGCTGCTTCCTGGGGTGTGTGTGTATGTGGTGTTGAAAAAATTAGTAAACAGTTGCTTGACAGTTGAGAGGGGGGGGGGGGGCGAAAGAGCAGAGCTCAACCCCCGCAAACACAACTAGGTAAACTAGGTAAATACACACGCACGCACGCACGCACGCGAGAGAGAAAAACTGAAGGAATGGTCGAACAGATGATTGTTAGATTTTAACCCAAGCAAATGTAATGTAGGGAGCAGGACACCAGATACAAGGTATCATTTGGGAGATGAAATTCTTCAAGAGTCAGAGAGTGAGTCTGGTGAGATATCGACCTGGGAGGGGGGGGGTTGATATCTCGCCAGACCTGTCCCCTGAAGCCCATATCAAGAGGATAACATCAGCGGCATACGCCAGGCTGGCCAACATAAGAACGGCATTTAGAAGCTTGTGAAAGGAATCATTCACAACCTTGTATACAACACATGTCAGACCAATTCTGGAGTATGCAGCGCTAGCATGGAGTATATATATATAGTCAAGCATAGGACAAACCTGGAGAGGGTTCAAAGGTTTGCCACCAGACTAGTACCCGAGCTGAGGGGTATGTGCTACGAGTAGAGACCACAGGAGTTAAACTTCACGTCGCTGGAAGACACAAGAGTTAGAGGGGACATGATCACCACATACAGGATTCTCAAAGGAATTTATAGGGTTGAATAAGGACATGCTATTTAACGCAAGGGGCACACGCACTAGGGGACACAGGTGGAAACTGAGTGCCCAAATGAGCCACAGAGATATTAGAACTTTTTTAGTGTTAGTTGTTGACAAATGGAATGCATTAGGAAGTGATGTGGTGGAGGCTGACTCCATACACAGTTTCAAGTGTAGATATGATAGAGCCCAATAGGCTCAGGAACCTGTACATTAGTTGATTGACAGTTGAGAGGCGGGACCAAAGAGCCAGAGCTCAACCCCCGCAAGCACAAATAAGAGTACACAGAGCTGGTCGTCGCTTGGCCACCCCTCCTCTTGTAACAAACAACAAGAGGGCTTAAGGCAGGTAACTGGGTGGGTGACCACGGGGAACAAAGCCTTACTTTGGCAGGGGAACCAGAACAAGCCACGGTTCTTTATACACCACATGTCAGACCAATCGTGGAGTATGCAGCTCCAACGTGGAGTTCGTGTCAAATCAAGAGGGGCAGCTCCCATTCTCCTAATGGTCCATTGCATTTTGTTGTGTACTTTCGTTCAGACCAAAAACTGTATTAAAAATGGGTCAGCGGCCCGAGAAATTCAGGTCATCCTCATAAACAAAGACCCAAAGACCATTCCATGCACCCGCTAAACCTCCCTGTTTATGAATGAAAAACGGTTTACAGACGACTCACAACTGATGACATTCGAACACTTCCGGAACATGTGCTTCACTGACGACTGTTGTTGCTACCACAACGCTGTATATGCTTCACTCACCTACTACATCACTGACGACTGTTGTTGCTACCACAACGCTGTACATGCTTCACCCACCTACTACATCACTGACGACTGTTGTTGCTACCACAACGCTGTATATGCTTCACCCACCTACTACATCACTGACGACTGTTGTTGCTACCACAACGCTGTATATGCTTCACCCACCTACTACATCACTGACGACTGTTGTTGCTACCACAACGCTGTATATGCTTCACTCACCTACTACATCACTGACGACTGTTGTTGCTACCACAACGCTGTAAATGCTTCACTCACCTACTACATCACTGACGACTGTTGTTGCTACCACAACGCTGTATATGCTTCACCCACCTACTACATCACTGACGACTGTTGTTGCTACCACAACGCTGTATATGCTTCACCCACCTACTACATCACTGACGACTGTTGTTGCTACCACAACGCTGTACATGCTTCACTCACCTACTACATCACTGACGACTGTTGTTGCTACCACAACGCTGTAAATGCTTCACTCACCTACTACATCACTGACGACTGTTGTTGCTACCACAACGCTGTACATGCTTCACTCACCTACTACATTACTGACGACTGTTGTTGCTACCACAACGCTGTACATGCTTCACTCACCTACTACATTACTGACGACTGTTGTTGCTACCACAACGCTGTATATGCTTCACCCACCTACTACATCACTGACGACTGTTGTTGCTACCACAACGCTGTATATGCTTCACTCACCTACTACATCACTGACGACTGTTGTTGCTACCACAACGCTGTAAATGCTTCACTCACCTACTACATCACTGACGACTGTTGTTGCTACCACAACGCTGTATATGCTTCACTCACCTACTACATCACTGACGACTGTTGTTCCTACCACAACGCTGTATATGCTTCACCCACCAACCCGTTCTCGCAAATTCGTAAAGTCAATATTGACTTATTAACTACGTGCATAGGTGATATACTAAACATAATAGATACCCTTAAAAAGATTCATAGAAAACACCGACCTTACCTAACCTTGTTAGTATCTTAAGATAAGCATCTTATTGCTTCGTAATTACAATTATTACTTAACCTATACCTATTATAGGTTAGGTAATAATTGTAATTACGAAGCAATAAGATGCTTATCTTAAGATACTAACAAGGTTAGGTAAGGTCGGTGTTTTCTATGAATCTTTTTAAGGGTATCTATTATGTTTAGTATATCACCTATGCACATATTTAATAAGTCAATATTGACTTATTAAATTTGCGAGAACGGGTTGCACCCACCTACTTGAAATAATCCCCAACAGAACCTGTTCACCTATCCAGTGCCTCAGTATGTACAGTATACTAATATATAATAACACTTATTGATATTTGAGAATTCCTATTTTGAATGAACAACATGTTAAAATGGATGAAGGCGTCTTTGGGGTCGACCGCTGGATGGAATGGTCTTGGTCTGAGGACGGGTTGAGAAATTGACGTGAAAATCCCGTTTTCTGTTCATGGATTCTCGAGTAGGTTAGGTTTGGATACAGTTTAGTGATGTTGGGAACGCTTAGGAGAACTGGGTACGCATCCCCAGGAGAACGGGCGGCACGGTCCGGGGCGCTCCCTGGGGCAGCGGCACGGTCCGGTGCGCTCCCGGGGGCGGCGGCACGGTCCGGGGCGCTCCCGGGGCGGCGGCACGGTCCGGGGCGCTCCCTGGGGCAGCGGCACGGTCCGGTGCGCTCCCGGGGGCGGCGGCACGGTCCGGGGCGCTCCCGGGGGCGGCGGCACGGTCCGGGGCGCTCCCGGGGCGGCGGCACGGTCCGGGGCGCTCCCGGGGCGGCGGCACGGTCCGGGGCGCTCCCGGGGGCGGCGGCACGGTCCGGGGCGCTCCCGGGGGCGGCGGCCCGGTCCGGTGCGCTCCCGGGGGCGGCGGCCCGGTCCGGTGCGCTCCCGGGGGCGGCGGCCCGGTCCGGTGCGCTCCCGGGGGCGGCGGCCCGGTCCGGGGCGCTCCCGGGGGCGGCGGCCCGGTCCGGGGCGCTCCCGGGGGCGGCGGCACGGTCCGGGGCGCTCCCGGGGGCGGCGGCACGGTCCGGTGCGCTCCCGGGGCGGCGGCCCGGTCCGGGGCGCTCCCGGGGGCGGCGGCCCGGTCCGGGACGCTCCCGGGGGCGGCGGCCCGGTCCGGTGCGCTCCCGGGGGCGGCGGCACGGTCCGGGGCGCTCCCGGGGGCGGCGGCACGGTCCGGGGCGCTCCCGGGGGCGGCGGCACGGTCCGGGGCGCTCCCGGGGGCGGCGGCCCGGTCCGGGGCGCTCCCGGGGGCGGCGGCCCGGTCCGGGGCGCTCCCGGGGCGGCGGCGCGGTCCGGGGCGCTCCCGGGGGCGGCGGCCCGGTCCGGGGCGCTCCCGGGGCGGCGGCCCGGTCCGGGGCGCTCCCGGGGGCGGCGGCCCGGTCCGGGGCGCTCCCGGGGGCGGCGGCCCGGTCCGGGGCGCTCCCGGGGGCGGCGGCACGGTCCGGGGCGCTCCCGGGGGCGGCGGCACGGTCCGGTGCGCTCCCGGGGGCGGCGGCACGGTCCGGGGCGCTCCCGGGGCGGCGGCACGGTCCGGGGCGCTCCCGGGGGCGGCGGCGCGGTCCGGGGCGGCAGGGCCAAAAGTGGGCGGGTTTAGTGTTTGGGTTGTGGGCCAGGAGCCAGTGTGGCACGCGGACTATACCTCGTGCCTGTAACAACCTGCCAACAATGGCTGGTGGGCTCCAACAAGCCTCTCATGGGCTCTACATCAAACGAGTGACCACCGTATATGTAACATCAGACATGTAATTCAGTCTGTAAGTATGAGCTACAGGGATTAGACGTCACTGGACAGGCCATGGGAGAGGCATCACTACAATTATCATGGCAATAAGCACTCACACACACACACACACGAGAATAGGTGGTATAGGAATAACGGGCAGAATAGAATGCCAATAGATAGCATAGTAGCCAAATGTGCTACTGACGTATGATCAATAATGTGTTCAGTGTCGGTAGTGATCAGATGTACTGCCCTGATGAAGGAAGTGTGCGGGTCTAGCACGTCCCTCTGTGATGACCAGGGAAGTGGTGGACGCACACTTCATACACACCTTCATATGTGGCTTATGCAATTCCACGTTGGAGCTGCATACTCCACAATTGGTCTGACGTGTCGTATATAAGGTTCTAAATGATTCCTTACACAGGTTTCTAAAGGCAGATCTTTTGCTGGCCAACGTCATGATGATGATGGTGTGTGTGGGGGGGGGGGGAGGTACCATCTCCGATTTGATACAACTTGGTACACGTATAGATCTCAGTGAGAGATTCAGACCAGTTTCACATCTGCAGCTAAAACGGTTCGCGACCTTGAATTTTGCCAACAGGGTCCAAGTTCCGTGGTGCTTTGGTTCAAGAGGAGTATCTCGGCTACTATGGTGTACACACTCTCACTCACTCTGTTGGAGCTGAATGTGACAAAGGCTGTTGGGCCTGACATAATCTCACCGTGGATACTAAAAGTGCAGAGAGACTAAGTGTGCCACTCTCTGGTGTATAACAGTGGGAAACAGGAGACCTACCAGAAAGCTGGCAGACAGCTAATGTAGTCCCTATATACAAAAAGGGTGAAAGGCAAGAGGCACTGAACTATAGGCCAGTATCCCTAACTTGTATACCATGCAAGGTGATGGAGAAGATCACGAGGAAAAGGCTCGTAGAGCATCTGGAGGGAAATAGTTTTGTAACACACCGCCAACATGGGTTCAGAGATGGTAAATCTTGCCTCACAGGTTTAATAGAATTCTATGACCAAGCAACAAAAATTAGGCAAGACAAGAGAAGGGTGGGCAGACTGTGTTTTCTTGGACTGTCAAAAAGCCTTTGACACAGTACCCCATAAAAGGCTGTTACAAAAGTTGGAGCAACAGGCATGAGTAAAAGGTAAGGTGCTCCAGTGGATAAGGGAGTATCTAAGCAATAGGCATGAGTAAAAGGTAAGGTGCTCCAGTGGATAAGGGAGTATCTAAGCAACAGGAAACAGCGAGTAACTGTGAGGGGAGAGATATCAGAGTGGCGAGATGTCACCAGCAGAGTCCCACAGGGCTCTGTACTTGGACCCATTCTGTTTCTAATATATGTAAATGATCTTCCGGAGGGTATAGACTCGTTCCTCTCAATGTTTGCTGATGCAAAAATTATGAGAAGAATCAAGACGGATGAAGATAGACAGAGACTACAGGATGACCTGGACAAACTGGAGGAATGGTCTAGAAAATGGGTGCTAAAGTTCAACTCAGGAAAGTGTAAAGTAATGAAATTAGGCGAAGGGAGCAGAAGGCTGAACACAAGGTACCATCTGGGAGGTGAAATCCTGCAAGAGTCAAATAGAGAGAAAGATCTGGAGGTTGATATCACACCGAACCTGTCCCCAGAGGCCCACATCAAATGGATATCATCAGCGGCATATGCTAGGTTGGCCAACATAAGAACTGCCTTTAGAAATTTGTGTAAGGAATCGTTCAGGACCCTGTGTACCACTAATGTCAGACCAATTCTGGAATATGCAGCTCCTGCCTGGAGTCCATATCTAGTTAAACACAAGACAGTTAGTGAAGATTCAGCGGTATGCCACCAAAGTTATCCCGGAACTGAGAGGTATGATCTACGAGGAAAGGTTGAAGGAGCTGAACCTCACGTCCCTGGAAAACAGAAAAATAAGGGGAGATATAATACAACCCGTTCTCGCACTTTCTTTCAGTCAATATTGACTTATTAAATACGTGCATATGTGACATACTAAACATACTAGTCTACCTTGAAAAGCTTCATAGAAAACACCGACCTTACCTAACCTTAGTATGTTAAGATAAGCATCTTATTGCTTCGTAATTTCAGTTACTTAACCTATACCTATAATAGGTATATTCAATTATTACTTAACCTATACCTATAATAGGTTAAGCAATAATTGTAATTACGAAGCAATAAGATGCTTATGTTAACATACTAAGAAGGTTAGGTAAGGTCGGTGTTTTCTATGAAGCTTTTCAAGGTAAACTAGTATGTTTAGTATGTCACAGATGCACGTATTTAATAAGTCAATATTGACTATACGAAAGTGGGAGAACGGGTTGTATGATAACCCTCTACAAAATTCTCAGGGGAATTGACAGGGTGGACAAAGACAAACTCTTCAGCACGGGTGGGACACGAACAATGGGACACAGGTGGAAACTTAGTACCCAAATGAGCCACAGTGACATTAGAAAGAATTTTTTCAGTGTCGGAGTAGTTAGTAAATGGAATGCACTAGGAAGAGATGTGGTGGAGGCTGACTCCATACACAGTTTCAAATGTAGATATGATAGAGCCCAATAGGCTCAGGAATCTGTACGCCAGTTGATTGAAAGTTGAGAGGCGGGACCAAAGAGACAAAGCTCAACCCCCGCAAGCACAATTAGGTGAGTACAATTAGGTGAGTACACGCACACACACACACACAAACAGTTGTTTCAAATACCATTTTAAAGCTATTGAATGGCTCGCCAACTTTTCTTCACTGCTCATTTTAAATTAGTGTTCAAATACAAAAGTTGACCTTAAATTTAACCTTTCATATTGGGAAGGTGATATGACGTCAGCCGGATTTTTCAGACGCAAACTTGATATTGGTGTGAGTGCGTGTATTAGTGTATAACATTGTCTTGGGGCATTATCTTAGTTTAGGAGCTACATACAAATATACAAAATACAAATACAAATGTTTATTCAGGTAAAGTACATACATACAAGGTGAGACACAAGCACTGATGGAGTTATAGATAGAGCTAGTACATACAATGCCTAAGGCCACTATTACACCAAGCGTTTCGGGCAGGAAAAACACTAAGACTAAAACTTAATACTAATTGAGATTAAAGTCAAATTGTGTTGTCAAATTGTGTCAAATTAAATTGAGAAAAAAATAAAACAAATGGGGGAACATGGCAGAAATAGCAAAAATACATTTTGGTTAACAAACAGCATTGTTTAAAATAAAGACATGGGTTGACATTATAGGGGTAAGGTAGGTTACAGGGAGTTAATTAGGTAGTGCTGAGTTTTTATCTTAAACTGGTTGAGAGAGGTACAGTCTTTAACATGATTGGGAAGGTCATTCCACATTCTGGGCCCCTTGATTTGTAAAGCATTTCTAGTTTGATTAAGTCGTACTCTTGGAATATCAAATAGGTATTTGTTTTTGGTGTGGTGCTCATGGGTTCTGTTACAACCTTGTAGGAATACATATATCACTGGATATGATATATCATAACACACATAACTGGACGTAGTAACCTTAGCTGGAAACCTTGACGTTGAGTATACAGGTATATCCTAAGTGTCCACAGTCATCACTCTGGAACCATTTGGACTACAGCGGTGAGAGACATGTTCTCTTTCTCATTATTTTATCTTTAACATTAACATTATTTGACATGCAAATCAGCCAACCTCCCCCCCCCGTTTCATTGGAATGAATGTTACGGCCGCCGCCGCCGCCTCCCCTACAGCCACGGGTCACCCACCTGATGAGCAGGTGGCTGTATCATCTTTGCAGTCTTCGTTAAGTTATAGTTCACATACAAGGCAATAACATAAGACTAGTTAGTTTCCACCTACACATAAAGCAGGGCATAATAGTGTTAGTGTGGTACGTCTTCATAGTTGAATAGTTGTTGTCAGTTAACATGTACTATAATGGTCCTGCGTGTGCCCGCCCCTCTGTTCTTTACTGTCTGCTACTATAATGGTCCTGCGTGTGCCCGCCCCTCTGTTCTTTACTGTCTGCTACTATAATGGTCCTGCGTGTGCCCGCCCCTCTGTTCTTTACTGTCTGCTACTATAATGGTCCTGCCTGTGCCCGCCCCTCTGTTCTTTACTGTCTGCTACTATAATGGTCCTGCGTGTGCCCGCCCCTCTGTTCTTTACTGTCTGATACTATAATGGTCCTGCGTGTGCCCGCCCCTCTGTTCTTTACTGTCTGCTACTATAATGGTCCTGCGTGTGCCCGCCCCTCTGTTCTTTACTGTCTGCTACTATAATGGTCCTGCGTGTGCCCGCCCCTCTGTTCTTTACTGTCTGCTACTATAATGGTCCTGCGTGTGCCCGCCCCTCTGTTCTTTACTGTCTGCTACTATAATGGTCCTGCGTGTGCCCGCCCCCTCTGTTCTTTACTGTCTGCTACTATAATGTCCTGCGTGTGCCCGCCCCTCTGTTCTTTACTGTCTGCTACTATAATGGTCCTGCGTGTGCCCGCCCCTCTGTTCTTTACTGTCTGCTACTATAATGGTCCTGCCTGTGCCCGCCCCCTCTGTTCTTTACTGTCTGCTACTATAATGGTCCTGCGTGTGCCCGCCCCTCTGTTCTTTACTGTCTGCTACTATAATGGTCCTGTCTGTGCCCGCCCCCTCTGTTCTTTACTGTCTGCTACTATAATGGTCCTGCGTGTGCCCGCCCCCTCTGTTCTTTACTGTCTGCTACTATAATGGTCCTGCGTGTGCCCGCCCCTCTGTTGTTTACTGTCTGCTACTATAATGGTCCTGCGTGTGCCCGCCCCCTCTGTTCTTTACTGTCTGCTACTATAATGGTCCTGCCTGTGTCCGCCCCTCTGTTCTTTACTGTCTGCTACTATAATGGTCCTGCGTGTGCCCGCCCCTCTGTTCTTTACTGTCTGCTACTATAATGGTCCTGCCTGTGCCCGCCCCTCTGTTCTGTACTGTCTGCTACTATAATGGTCCTGCGTGTGCCCGCCCCTCTGTTCTTTACTGTCTGCTACTATAATGGTCCTGCCTGTGCCCGCCCCTCTGTTCTTTACTGTCTGCTACTATAATGGTCCTGCGTGTGCCCGCCCCTCTGTTCTTTACTGTCTGCTACTATAATGGTCCTGCCTGTGCCCGCCCCTTTGTTCTTTACTGTCTGCTACTATAATGGTCCTGCCTGTGCCCGCCCCTCTGTTCTTTACTGTCTGCTACTATAATGGTCCTGCGTGTGCCCGCCCCTCTGTTCTTTACTGTCTGCTACTATAATGGTCCTGCGTGTGCCCGCCCCTCTGTTCTTTACTGTCTGCTACTATAATGGTCCTGCCTGTGCCCGCCCCTCTGTTCTTTACTGTCTGCTACTATAATGGTCCTGCGTGTGCCCGCCCCTCTGTTCTTTACTGTCTGCTACTATAATGGTCCTGCCTGTGCCCGCCCCTCTGTTC